AAAAAGCACAACATGGTCTCTTTAACTTATCACTTCACTGAAAGGAGTTTAACAGAAAAGCTCCAGACAGTAACGTTACTATATAAGAGTTTCTTTCTTTGTTACAGGCTGAGCATCGAACCATGGCTGTGTTCATATTGGCTGTTATTGTCAACAGCTACAACACAGGACAGGTATGTGTGTGTGTGTGTGTAAGCTAATGTTTGGATGTATGTGTGTGTATTTCCGCACTGCTGTCTGTTTGTTCTGCCAGAATCCCAAAGGGAGAACGTACAATATTATTAATTTACTTCCCTCACCAGAACCCTCGGCGGGTTGTTTTGGGGCCAGCCGTCACTTTGAGAGATTACTCTATCGCCCATTGTGTATTTCCTGGAGATATTGGTTATGTGACGGTTTTGTCACCAACAGTCACCTCTATAATCTCCATCTTCGTCACAGCCACCTCCAGGGTGACATTTTATCACCGCAAAGTGTCACTTTGGCCTGCTCCTAGCCTCCGGTGTTCAATCCCAGAAGCCCTTTGTGTCTGACGCTGATCAAACGTCCAAGGGTGCGATGTTGGGATCATGTAGCTCGTCATTTCCAGCACACACTCACTGACGCACACTTCCACGAAGAAATATCCCACCATCACGCCCTTTTGCTTGCTCTCTCCTGCTCTCTGCGGTTATTTTTCTGTCTAGTTGTCAATGTTATTTGACTCATTCATTTTTTTCTTCACATACCTTACATTACTTCTCTCTCTCAATATTATATAAATGTAACAAATCATGAAAGCTATATGTGGTCTCAAACTCAAACACCCATTCTTCTCCCATATCACGGTTCCTTAATGCTTCTACCTTCTCTCACAGGCCTGTAAATAATAGATGATCCCCAACATTACAGAGAGACTCTCTGCCGGCTCCACGTCTCCATTATTTATCCCTCTTACTTTCAACAACAGTGCTCATTACTGCGGCAGCACTGTTGCAAACATGTCACCGAGCTCTGGCGTCTTAATATTCCCGCTCTCGGGGTTCAGCTGGGAGGCTCCATCAGAGCTGAGGGAACGATGCGCTAGCAATCTGAGGCAATTGAAGAAAGTAGAGCGGGGTGTATGAGGAGACGGGGGCGCATTGTGTCACCACTGATAAAAGATTTGTTGTTGTGATGCCTCAGTCTGTAGGAGACAAAGATGGATTCTCAGCATACTAAAGGGGTCCATTTGTTGTGGTTCATGTGGATATGAGGTGTTGCGTTAAAGGCTTTTATGTTCACAAGGAACATCTGAGGCTGGGAGATCATCAGAGTGCCGAGCATTGATGCACATGACTGTATTTGTGTTGTTGTCACCCAAAACAAACATGCTTTGGCTTTCATAGAACATAAAGGCTATCACACAAGGCTATCAATCATTACAAGGATTCAAAATACATATTTATTAATTTCACGTTATATGTTCTTTCTGGGCAGAATTTGCGTTTTCATTCATTCCAGCCGGTTCTGTTTTTCACATTTTTTTATTCTTGTTAAGCTGCTCAAAGTGAACACTTCCTACAGGTGTTAAGTGTTAAAAGCCTCTCAGATAAAAGGAACAAACAAGCGATTTAAGCCACTGCAAGGCTTTTACTATAATATATCTATATAGGAAGTGTTGAATTTCATTAACAGCAGCTTAAGACTGATCTGCTAATCTGTAAATGGAGAAGGCAGAAATTACTTAATAAAATACTCACACTTCCTGCCCATTGTTTTCCAGTTACAGTTGCAGTGGCTCCTTTTCCTGGTATGCTTTTAACGTGAAACAGTAATTATTGAGTTTTATTGACAGTAGCTTTAAATCTGATTGATTGAGATTGAAGATTCAGTAGATGAGAATTAATTAAACACAACACTTGAGGCAGATATTTTTCACAGTAAAAGCCTTACTGTCTGGTAATGTGAACCATATGCAGGAAGTGTTAAGTTTTATTGGCAGTAGCTTAATGCTGAACAAAAGCATGCCAGAGTAGAAGTGACTGGAATCAAAAAGGGAATCAAAACTATTTCTGTTAGAAAGAAAAACCGGGAGCAGCTGAGTGGTGAATACAACGCCACTCTGATGGAATTAACATAGTTTACATTACCCTGTGAACCATTCTAGTACAGGTAATTCCAGCCAAGCCTGTACTTTACTTGCTCGACACACATATTTTATTACTATGTACTTGTGTTACCTCACGAAAATTATAAACAGAAAGGCAACTGAAAACAAGAAAGGAGTGCCCTCGTTAATGCTCTGTACAAAATAAATGAATCAGAAAGAAAGGTTTTTAAAAGGATTTGAATTGAGCCATACCAGCTCTTCCATCGTACTTAAGACGGCCTCAAACCTTGATGGACCAATTACCTTTTGTTCACAAAAAAAGATGTGATAAGGGCTGAAGGGTTCAAAGGAATAAGTCATTCTGCTGCAGAGCTCATAATCTTTTTGTCCATCGCACAGCGTGGGGTTACAGGTTAGTGGTGATTAACTGGCTAATGAGGTACAAGTCTGCCCCAGTCAGGAGCCTCTGAGCCGCTCAGGAGGGTTAAGACTGATATAATGCGTATATTGTCTTTTTATCGAAGTAAAATACTGTCAGGACAGTGTTCACTACCACACTTTCAAGTCTAGTCAAGTCAAGTTTGTGACAATTACTTCATACCTCATAATCTTCTTCCATTTCTTAAATGTATTCCTCTTTTTAAAACCTAAAATCAACACAACATCGCTCACACTCATCATTCTGCACCACTCCCCCTCTCCCACCAGGAGGCCTGCCTTCAGGGCAACCTGATAGCCAACTGCCTGGAGCAGCTGTCAGACCCCCACCCTCTGCTCCGTCAGTGGGTGGCCATCTGCCTGGGCCGCATCTGGCAGAACTTTGATCCAGCCCGCTGGTGTGGAGTTCGGGACAGCGCCCACGAGAAGCTCTACACCCTGCTGTCGGATCCCATCCCAGAGGTAAGAGGTTAATACCAGAGTGGAAAAGTACGAGGAGATGTTTTTGATCATTTTCTTACTCTGCAAAAAAGGCAATTCAAAAAGCACTAATATAACGTTTTACAAATGATGAAATTATGCATGGTTATCTAAGATTAGTAACCTTGTCAAGCACCATTTGCCTTAGACTGTTATGCATGTTCCAAGATAAAGTGTTGTAATTCGATTGGTTTTCTTAATTCAAGAATAAGAGACATTTTTTGAACAGCCAGGCCGTCTTTTGTACTCTACACCGTCCTATCAGGCCATTGCTGATGACCCTGTTGGCATTTTTGGTATTTGATACCTAACCAAATTTTTCACGATTACACAATATTTTGCTTGTTTTTGAAGGTAGAAGCATAAAGGACAAAGTCTGTGACTAAAACTAAGATATTGATCGCAGCTAAATAAAGCATTTTAAGTTATATAAGTATTTAAAAGTAAAAACAGTTTTTATTGCAATTCCTTTTTTTAGATATAACATCAGTACTGTAAATAAGGAGAAAAAATATATGCTATTTCCAAACAGAACTTTCCCCAATATCCCCCTCCCCACCACACTTAAACACAAAGAACATTCTTTCTTAGAAATAAAAAGAAAAAGAAACTATTCAGTTCTGAGAGAACGTACCAAAGAACTCCCGCATGGAAGAAATTATAAAATAAATATACATGTTGCACTTGAGGAAACAGTTTTGTGTCCTTTTACATATCCTGTATGACATTCTTGGATGTGCAGCAACTCAGTTGTTTCAGAAAGAATACAAACTGACGTTTTTCAACCTAAACCCTTATGTATTTAGTGTCAAAGTGACTAAAGCGGACCGCAGTGTTTGAAATTGGTCCAGTATTAAATGAGTACTGTGCGAAACGGGCTGCAACATAATCCTTTGGGGCAATTGTGCACTGTCAATGTACATCCACTCAGGTGCTGGTTTTTCCCTCTGACAGGCTCACATTGTTATAATTTCTAACAACATTATGGAATTGGGGATTAAGAAAATATAAAAAAATATTCTTCCACAATATTTTATTTTGTGATATTGTATTGATTCTCAAAAACACTGTGTTTTGTGGTTAAACCCCCAACCATTAGACAGCAGTGTTGTAAATGTAAACTGAGGGCTGAGATGTTGGACGTTACAGCGACTGTGATAAATACAAATGCAGACCCCTCTGTTCTGGTTTCTCAGGTGTGTTCTTAATACTATTTTTCCGATTTTTTTTTGGAAATCACAATATAACACCTAGCTTACAGTATCACACACAATATATTAAATCATAACCCTTGTATCCTGATATTTATTGTATCGCCAGATTCTTGCCAATACACAGCCCTGTTATGGAAAGGATCCCTACAGAGATAGTGCTTTTTGTTGAAGATTAAGATAACTGCTGTTTCTGGTTAAAGAAACATTAATATATGTATGTAATATAAAAAATTATATCACTCTGTTTGAAGCCACCGGACTCCATTGACAAAAACAGTAATTTTACCTGAAAGAACGCAGGAGTTAGTGATCTACCGCTACCTCAGTCGGTCAGTTTGTTTGTGTTATTGTGTGACTTGCTTTAAATGGTTTAAAAGCCACACAATAACACTAACTAATGAACTAACCGATCTTTATTGAGTGTCTTTATTGACAGCTGTAGGTCCTGACCAGTAACACTAGGACACACAACCTGCTAAACAGAAAACTTCTTGTTTGTTTTCAAGACAAAATACACTGTAAAAACAATGGAAATTGTTGGGAATGGAAATCCTCCATACACACATGAAAAAGAAAGAAAGCACACGCACTCGGAGCTGACCCACACTGGCTTTAAACTGTTTGGACCCACTGTGTTAAAACAGGACGGTAAGCATCTGACAGGGTCGTGTGTGGACCAGAGGGACAGTGAGGCAGAGTTTGCCCTTAAGCTCACCCAGACACTTGGTGCCCTCACTCACACACGCCAAACATATTTGCATGCATTCTCTCTCTCTCACTCACACACACACCACACACACAACACACACAACACACACACACACACACAAGGAACATCTGTTTCCAGCAGAAACTTCCTCCTTCCCTTGGTCAGACAGCTGCTTTGGCTGTAGAGTTGAAACTGAGGTCTGCAGACACATCTGCCTGTGCCCACACACACACACACATACAGACATACTTTTTCAGTTGTATTTCCAGGTTGTTCATTTATTTTACATTAGGAGTGTTTGTGTTTTTTTAAAGCCACTGGAGACTCAGACTGACTGATCATAACTGACTGTTAAGAAATAACACATTTACAGATAAATCACTGCATTTTAAAGTTCTCCTCCGGTGTTCGATTGAGACACTTCACATGCTGCTGCGTGTGTGTCCCCCAGAGCCTTGTGGAGTTGAGTGAAGAAAGAGATTGTGACTGAGTAGTAGGGACAGAGAGTGAAAGGAGGAGCAGAGATCACTGACTAAGCAGAGTTTGATTCTAAGAAATCATTATCTTAGCTGTGTCTGAGGGGACACAGCTAAGATGACGATGTTGCTTAGTCATAGTTTGCAAGTCACTACAGCTCACACACACACACACACAGGTATTGACATTGACAACTTCAAAGTCGCTGGACAGAGAGAAAGGCAAAACAGTTTTAAAAACCTTTAAAGCTGCCCATTCCACCTGGAAGAATGTACAGTAAGACTAGTAAGGTTCAAGTCCATTTACAGTAGATGGTTTGTGAAAATAACAAAATAAAATTCCAATAAAATACCTCAAAGTTTATCTTGTATATTGTGTATGCTCTTTTGTGACAAGACTTTTCTAGGCCTGATATTTGTATTCATTGTGGTAAAACTTTTTTATGCTGCCTCCTTGGCTAGGTTTCTCTGTAAAAGGAGATTGTAATCTTCATGAGACTTTAGAGTTAACTTTAAAGAAAAGCATAAAAGATATATATTTTCTGTTTGTGATCTTTGGGTCTGTGATCTATCAATAAAGGTGTAAAATATGCTATAGAAATATGCACTCCCCCTCAAAGAAATAAATGTAGAAGAATGTAATATAATATGTGTAGCTGTGTTGCTACTGTAGGTATATGTCCATCCAACCAAACACAAAAACCTGACAAACCTTTGGAGAAACACTGCAGTACAAATCAGAGAAGACAAATTTATTGAAAAACAGTTACCTTTGCTCGACAATTGAAAGAAACAAGCACCGATTCACATTTTATTGTGCTGAAAATAAGCATTCAGCAGTTCATGTGTCACAGGGCCGTTGATCATTGTTGTCATTTTTGAGCATGTGCAGCACAAGCACCGGTACTCAAACATTCCCATAGATTTGTAGTGAGTGGGGTTATAATATAAGGGTATGCAATACAACACCATCACTAACAGTGGCTTCAAAAATAGATTTAATTCAACACATCTTTGTTTCGATTGTAGAGATATATGTTACTGAGTCCTATATATATTCCAGTGCATAAAGGAATAGACACGTCTGAGTGAAGATGGCAGATTAAGATGCTTTCCAGTACTACAGTGTTGTGTTTTAATTTGCTTTCAAGACGCAGTGCTTTTATGATTTTTTTTCCCCAGGTTTTAGAAAGAAAATGACTATATCCATCTGAAATGTTTCAGCTGATCATTTTAATTAGGGCAAAGCAAACCCTATCAAAGCAACATCTGCGTGCTGGAGTATAACTAGATTAAAAAAGTAGTTGTAATGATGCATCCTGGTGCCTACAAAAAAATGTTTTCTGTCACCACAACAAGCAATATACCCAAATATTCATTCTTGTGCTGTAATTTCGTTCAGGGTGCGAGACCAATTCCTCATGGAAAATTTCTTCTGTGCGACAGCAAGTTTGGAGGAAACATCCAATGAAGCAGGAAGAAAAAGTAATGAGTTATAGTGACCAAAAGCAGCTCACAGGAGCACCCAGCGGTGATAATCTCCAGTGCATTTCATAATGATACATTAAGAGAAGATTAAAAAATATTTACCTTCCCAGTTTTCATCCACTGGTCTCACAACACATTAGAAAATTTTTGAATAAGTCTGGCAAGCAAATATTTGGGCCACACTTGAAAAAGGCAGAGCTGTGCATTGACGAGGGGAGATCAGACTGATAAAATATCCAAACCCCTGACATTGTGTTTGTGTTGCTGCAGGTGAGGTGTGCGGCTGTTTTTGCTCTGGGGACCTTTGTGGGAAACTCTGCTGAGAGGACGGACCACTCCACCACCATCGACCACAACGTGGCTATGATGCTGGCCCAGCTCATCAACGATGGCAGCCCTGTGGTTCGCAAGGTCGCTGCAACACAACAACACTCACCCACACACATAAAAGACATACAGTTTGCTTTAAAAGTATGTGCATACGATAGTAAGACAAACAAGAGGTGTGGGAGCTTCCACATAAACACTTCAGTTCATTGACAGTCAACATTGGGTATTGACAATATTATTTTCCAGATAAAACAAAGAAATAGACTGTAGCCCACAGGACATAGTTTAAAGGAGTAGTTAAAAATCTGGGGAAATAACTCATTTTGCTTGCCTTCAAAGAGTTAGACACGAAGATTAATGCCACTCTCATGTCTGTGTGTTCATGAGCTGCAGACTAGAGGCAATTAACTTAGCTAATTGTTGCAGAAAAGAGAACAGTTCAAGTCAGAATATTGTGCTAATATGTCAATCGACCGGCAGCAGGAAGCCACTGCACCCGGCCGTTGTCCCAGTTAGAGGTGCTTGTCGACATGTTTTTGGACAGAGCCTGGCTAGCTGTTTCCACCTGATCCCAGTCCCAGGATCCGGTTCCGTACTCAATGTACAGACATGAGAGCGTCATCAATCCTCTCATCTCACTTTTGAAAGCAATTAAAGCATATTTACCAAAATGTCAAACCATTACTTTAAGACTAGAAAAATAAATCACGTGAGAAGCTGGCAAATATACTAAAATGGGTGGCATTTGTGGTTTAGTGATTGTACAAACAGATGTTGCAGTTTATTGCACTTCAGCTTGTCATAATGGTTTGGAGAGTTTTCAGCACCTCTTGAATACATATGACATGAAAAAAAAAATCTCTTCAGGTACCTCCAGGTCAGAGATTACTAATAAATAAATTAAAGTGAAAGGTACCTAGTTTAGTTCTTGCATAACTGATATCACAGTTACACAGTATAATACAGAACTCCAATCATTTGCCAATCTGTATCAGGAGGAGATGGGAGAGAGAATCTGGCCTGGAGGTACAGTAACTGAGAAAAATTTAAATAAAACAGTATATGAGTAAGTCCAACTAAGACTACAAATTCAGTTTCAGCCAGGGATCTTCTGAAAGAACATAATTTGATACTTTTTGGCTTCAAAATGGAATATTATATGAAGTGGTTCTCTTTGGGACCAAACAATGCTGGAGGCAATGAGATAAAAAAAAATCACTAAAGAAATTATTAGCAATGTATGGATTAGATATTTATCAGTTGTCACCATTATACCAAGAAAAATCCTGCTTGGCTTGAAGTAAAAAAGAGACATAATGACAACTGAATGATCATTATGTTTTGTATTTTTTTCTGTTTGTGTTTGACAGGAGCTGGTTGTAGCACTGAGTCACCTGGTGGTCCAATATGAGAGCAACTTCTGTACAGTTGCCCTCCAGTTTATAGAAGAAGAGAAGAACTACACTGTGCCGTCACCAGCCAACACCGCAGGTACAGTAGACACACAAACATATTTGCAAACTGACTGCTAAACTAAAGTTTTCTTTTATCTCTTTTTTCCCAAACATACTTCACTTTTGTTTTTTTCTTATTCAGTATTGCACAGAGGAAGTAACAATAGAGTCAAACTATGACTAAATCACCTGTTAGTACCAGAAAGATAGTTGAAAGTCATTATTTGGTTTGGGTCTGTTTTCTCTATTTTACTTTTGACTTTATTGAACTATTGAATTTGTGTTTGAATTGTATATAAAAGAAGTAAATAAAGTACACAGAATACTTCTGCCCTCTAAACAATCGTACATTTTTGAACCCATATTTACTATAGGGAGAGGAGTCGTGCTTGTTTAAGATTGCTTTAAAAGATCAAGATCTTTTTATGAAGAAAACTCACTAATCAAAGTGATCATACCTTTTAGCTTTTGTTGTAAATGGTAATAAAGTGTCAGGACAAATACTCCTGTTAGCACTTTTGTGGAAAAGTGTTCTGATAAAACTCCTCAGTTGTTAGTGGGTGGTAAATGACATTTTGATGCAAAAAGTCTGCATCTATAGATACAGTTCCTTAATAAACTCAATCCCATTTCCAGGCACGAAAGCCCAGCTCTGTCAGTGCCAGGGTAAAAAGATGGTTGGAAACTATGGATTGCCACAATCAAAATACTTTGTAGGCTATAGTGTTTACTTAATTGTGACCAGATTTTATGTGGAATGGAAGGAATTGACGATGTGGGGTTTCTGACAAACAAGAGGACGTCATCTGCATAAAACGCTACCTTGTAGAACAAATTCCCTCAAGTTATCCCTTCTATCACAATTAAATATCAAGATGTCAAATGCTTTTTCTGCATCTACGAATATTACAATTTCTGGATTGTTTTGTTAAAAGGTCAGTGTAAATTATGTAAAAAGCTTTCCAGGTATGTATGTGCATCCCTTGAACGAATCCAGTCTCATTAGGTGCTAATTTTAAAGGTCGAGTGGCATCTAGTGGCATCTAGTGGCATCCAGCGGTGTAGTTGCAGATTGTCGGTTCACCCTACCCTTCCAAAAACATAACGCAATTCGCTATGATTCAGGTGATTACTACATAATGAAAATACACCATATATACCTTATGATGATAATATTCCATTTGTTTTCAATAGATCCTCCTTTTATGTTTTTTAACACTGGACCTTTAACATTCCACTCATTAGAACAACATGTATTTTTATTGGTTTGGGATTATCCAGGCTCTGACCTGATGTATGTCCTCCTGTGTTTACTTCCAGAGCCTGGTAACCTGACTCCAGTGAGGGACAGCCCAGCGATCCCACGCCTGCGATCAGTCAACTCCTACACCAACATCCGAGCCGCTACCACTGCCCGCAACCTGAACAAGAGCCTGCAGAACCTCAACCTCAATGAAGAGGGTAGGAGGGAGAAAGAGCGCCGAGAAATGGAGCTAGAATGAAAATAAGGCTGACAATAGAGAGACATTTAGATGAAGCTGTAGGAGGACTGAATGAAGACAAAGAAGAATGAAAGAAATTAATCAAAGGAGAGAGTGTTAGCAGACTGTATTAGGTTTTCTCCTTGCACATCAGCTGTAGACCTTGGATATAACTGTCCTCAGGCTTACCTCTTCATTCTATCATTGCCATTCCTGTTAATGACTCAGTAAGCATTAATAAGAGGCTTCAAAACCAGCAAAGAGGCTGTGACCAGTTTTCCAAGCAGAGATAACAGTTCTCGCTCTCACATGCACTGACTGGAAGTGACTGGAAAATGCTCATCATCCATGTCTTACAAATGTGTGATGTGGATGAATGCAAGAACACGCATGGGCCAATTATTACAACTGAACAATTTAGTTGTACTAAATCTTATCAAATGTTAAGTGTTATCAAGATTTTGGCTTCAAAAATTATGCTCCCTCTCAGTGGCCCTTTACCGAAGCAATCCCCCACTTTAATATGTAGTGTCACACCACATAAAGCAGCAGTGGAGGGCTCTCCGCATTAGGGGGTCAGGCAGCAGCACCCATCGAAAAGGATCCTAAGTAGTTAAAATTGTCAGCTCTACTTAAATTAAGGTTTTTGTCAACTGCCGCCCCATACTCCAAAGGACTTTTTAATTGACTAATGTCTTCTTTATGAAGCAACTCAACTTATCAAGCCCCTCGTGGATACTTACTACAGGTTTCATACTCGCTGCTCAAATTCCTCCATATAATCTTCTTTCTCGTGGCTGGTTGCTTCGCCGTGGTCCTGCAGCTATCCGACTCAGTGGCACACTCAGTGGGGACTGTGAGCTGTCTATAGTGCTGAACTGTAGGCCCATTGAGACAAGTTTTCACTATGGGATGCCCTTCTGACGCTAAACCATGAGCAGTAAACCTCGGTTGTCATGGAGACGGATACATGCCTAGCTCACTGAGCTGTTGTATTATATGATGTGGTTAGATGCATTATACCTCTGAAACAATGAGCATTTGCGGTAAATGTTCTTGTGAATTGGTGTGTGCATATACTTTAAAATAATGGGAACACGGAAGATTTATCGACAATGTAATGTTTTTGTGTTTTTATTTTCACTTCACTAATCTGTGATTTTGACTAAATCCATTGTGAAAAATCAATTTAGGAAAAATGAGGCAGGAGGCTCTCACCTTGCCGGTGTCGGGGCCAGAATGGAGTTGATTCTATTTAACCAATGACAGGCATTTGTTTTCATGCATAACATTATCTTGCCAAACACATTTTTCGCTGTGAGGAAAACCCCAGACAACCTTCAACTGTAACAGCGTTCTTGAAGGGCATCATGGGGAAAAGGTTTTTGATTTGTTTAGTTTAAGATTTGCACTTTTAAAAGTTTTTAGGATTAACTGTCAATTTATAGCAGTGAAAGTATTTTGCTAAAAATAGATGCATAATTATCATAAATAATCCCAAACAAAACAATCCTTTAGTAATTTAATCCATAGCCATCCTATCTTCTGTCCACAGCTCACATCTGAGCTCTTGACTTCCTGTTTGTCACTGCTCTGTGGTTCAGACAGCTAAAGCTAACTCTGTCTGCCACTGCCAGACTGAGTAATGCATAAGCCCTGAATTGAGCTAAATCACTGGCACTTGGTGAAGCATGTAACCTACTGCTGACACCATTTCTAGTTCACATTCTCAGTGCTCATTCAAATATGCAGCTGTGTTTATCATCAATAAGCACACAGCAGAGCGTATTACCATTCTCTACCAATCTCCATTTCCACATTTCAGCCTGCCGTCGGTTTGGAGGATGCATGGCGTTTGGGTTTATATGAGTCAGAGTAATATTTGATGATGAAGGAGAGCTACTGCAGGAGATGAGTAAGCCTGACAGCTGAAATGAAGTTACGAGCAGATTCTTGTGTTGGCATGTAGCCGCCAAGTCTAAGGACCATTTACACACCTCACACCTTATTGGATGTAGATTTGCTATTTGGCTTCGTTTTTGTCTTTTTACAACAGTAATAACCATAATAAACTTTGTTTATATCGCACTCTTACAGCAGCCAAAGTGCTTTCTAAACATAATAATTTTCCTCTTAAGGCTTTTGTGTGATTGTATATTTTCCTTCATCAAGGTGGACCAGCAGCCTTTTCTCCTGGTAACCTGAGCACCAGCAGCAGCGCCAGCAGTACCCTGGGGAGCCCCGACAACGACGAGTACATCCTCTCCTTTGAGACCATCGACAAAATGCGACGGGTGTCCTCCTATTCTTCCCTCAACTCCCTCATAGGTAACAGCTGTTAAGTAGTACTGTAGCTGTAGCTCTACTAAAATATTCTTTCTTCATTGTTGTTCAGTTTTCTAAATGTGCAACTCCAATCCACCAATTTTGCACATAAAGGTACGTGATGATGAGTGCTAAAACTGGTAAGATAAATCTGTCGGCAGGAACAGACAGTCTAAAGAAGAGACACTATTGACACTTAGATCCAGCAATTTGGGAATTTGACCCATACTAGGTTCTACATTCAATTTTGACAATGATTTTTTTTAAATCTGTCTTCTGCAAGTCCCCTGACACATTGCCTATTTTTTTACTTTTTAAAGTTGAACTTATTATTATCTGTATGAACAATACATCCGCTGCAATCCCCCCAACTCTACTGAGCTTAATAGTCTGTTTTAGCTCATTGTTTTGGTTTCCTGACCTGCAGATTCACTGTTTTGGTCCACTTTCACCACTCTAATCAATCCTTGTTGCCACAAACATGACATCCCATATAAATTCTAATGTTGCTTTGTGATGGCTGAATGTGTAATCCATCCAAAATTTAATTCTGCCTTTAAGTGGCCTAAAAGCTGATTAATGCAGCTTTAAGTGAGATAACAACCTTAATCAATTTCATTAAACTCCGAGCGTTTAGAGGATGTGTTGTTTTTGTTTTTTATTTATTATATCGTCATAATATACATTTTGCCATGTATGCATCCAGAGACCGGTGGCAGCATCAGTGATGTGGATGTACCGTGTTGGATCATTACAGCAGGCTGCAGACAGTAGCTGGGACAGCATTGCATGGTTCAGCACACAGAAACTGCCATCCCATGAACAAGCACTCCCAAGAGGACTAAGCTTGAGAGAGAAACAGGGGGGAAATAAATGACCAGATGAATGTGATGGCACCAGAGAGGAAGACCCCAGGCCGGCCCTAGAGAGGGAAGTGAAAGAGAGGGAAGCTTCCAGTCCAAGAATAGATGTGTAAAGGACAGCAGAGTGGGGGGTGGGCAGGATAGACCCTGTGAGTCACCCCAGGCCATTAAAGTGCTTTTGCTGGTACACACTGAACTCAAACCCGCTCACTTACCCCTGTTCTCAGGTGATTGGCGGGCTCCACCATGCATCCTGACAGCCAGTTTGTGTGCGAGCAGGAAAAACATTAACTCACTCCTACCCCCTCGGGAAAGGGGAAAGTGAAGCTGGGGATTCCCTTTTTCTTCTTCTCATTGTTGCATTTCACGTTAGAAACCCTGTTGCAAGCTCCCAGCCGCCCTGTCATATCCTGGTATGTGATTTTTGCACGGCACAATGGAAAATGAGTCGAAATGGAAAATCGAATGGAAAAGTAAATTGAGCTCTGGAGAACAGTGAATTTAACTTGGTAGGAAAGTAGGTTCGGGTACTATAATGAAATTTCCTTTTCAGCGTGTTTTGTTTGATTTGTTCCTTAAATGAATGCCACCTTATTTTAGGTGGACCTGACTCAGTCAAGCTCTGCTCGAGCTTAATATCGGTCCTTTGAGGAAACCCAAATTTCCTCTGCACCTAAATTCAATTTAAACACAATCTGCTGCGTAAATCTGGATGAAGTAATGCTCATACACATGTGCACACTTTCTCAGACGCAGTCAAAGTGAAGTAAAGGTGATCAAATATTTTGTCTTCCCTTTTTCTCCTAGGGGAAGATACATCAGGTCATTTTCTAATCCAGGTTTAATCAAACCAGAGCAGAGCAGATGAATGGATGTTGGTAGAAATATTCAGGAGCGTAAAGACTGAAACGCATGCTTAAGTGCAGATGAATTTGATGTTCAGTTGTTATTTATGTTTCTGTTGTCACTTACATTCAGTTATCCAACTCAGCTGAGAGTTGGCTTGTCATTTTGACTTTTGTTGTTTACTCATTTGCTACTATCTTGCTGTTTGGTTTGAAGTTGTTTTCATAAGCCCCCGGGGCTTTTGTTTTTCATCTCGCCTGAAAAATGTATTAACTTGTTTCTATCTTTCCTTTTGGTATCGAGCTTAGAGCAGCATACATTCTCGGTTTTATCAAATCTATGTTTTAACACTGCAAACAAACAGGAACAAATGCTGAGAGGTAAAGTGCTCTGTATATTATAGTGTAGCAGTTTAGAACAAAGCAGAACCATAAATGCTAAATGCAGCAGCTACTGCTGGACACTGGCCTGCAGGAAACCAGCAAGATACCAACGCTGTGTGGGAGTCAGGGCAGAGTTCCAGTAGTGATTTAAAATTCATTCTTCTTTTCTTTTTTTTTTGTCTTTGCCCTCTTACGATAATTTGTACAAATCCTACTACAATGTTAAAGCCACACCAGCACCTCTCGTAGGCAGTGTTGGAAACAAAAACAAAATTGTAATATGGACAAACAGGCACTTCTTCTCTGGACCAATGTGCTGTATTCCCCTCCTTCGTCCTGTTCTTGTTAAGTGGTTGTACATTTTATTTTTTCAACTGTTTCTCATTGGTCAGCCCATGTCATGAGGTCACCATCTTGTTTTCTAGTGAGCATATGTGGAATGCATCTGCATACGCCGATTGAAATAGTCTCTGTGACGTCACCCATAGGTTTTTGAAGAGCTGTTGTGAAGCGCAGTGTATTTGGCTCTGGCCATCACCGTCTTGGCAATCCGGACTCCGCTGGCTCCCGCCTAATCCAAAAATGGGCAAAGATGTGGAGCGTGGGTGGAGCTGAGGCGGGCTGAATAAAGCCTGTTTTGTAGTGTTTTTTTCCTTTTGTCAGCCGTCAATAACTTTAAATAAACAACCATAAAAAAGCTCTGTTCTACTAAATAGTTTTAATCTTCGGACTGCAGAGAAGTACATACAAGTATGAAATAATTTGACATAAAGATATCCTCACTTCAGCCGTCTACCACTGAGAACACCTGACTTTCTGCAGCTTTCTCACGTCCTTGGATGAAGATAAGGATAAAGATGTTTTTAAGAAAATAAACTCCTTGGCCTTGGTCATAATAACACTTTCTTTGTTACATTAAACTTCACACATAATGACAATGCT